CGGTTCAGGAAGATACTGCTTTAATTGTGCAACCAGAGGAAGTGATTGAACCTCCCCGCCCCCAGGTCCGCGCGCACAGGGAAGCACCTTTATTACCAAGAACAAGGGCATTACCGAAATGCGGTGCATGTGGAAATCAGGGCCATAGAAGAGATGCATGTCCAGATAGACCTAGAATTTAGCTGATTGAATTTGATGGAGTTTTGGTTGAAATAAATGCGTTTAAAATTAATAGGCTGGTTGGGGTGGCCAGCTCGCTTGGGAATTACGTTACTTATTCACACACCCACTATGCCACCAACCCGCACCCGATCGTCTAGAAATTCAGCAAAGCAAGAGGGTAGGATTTTTAATAGCCATCCAGGCTATTAAGAAGCAAGAAGTTAGCGCTGTTTGGGAAGCAGCGCGTCGTCTTGAAGTACCGGAGACCTATTTACGTTGTCTGAACGGTGTTGAAAACTGCGCGGTTTCATGCGCTAATTTTACGATATTGACAGAGATTGAAAAGCAATCTCTCTGAAATGGATTCCCTCTGTAGATATTCGAGGAGCAGACCCGGCCTTCTACCATACGGTAAATAGCGGTTGTTATAGTGATAATGTAGTAGTGTTTAATAGATAAAGCAGAATAGTGATAATATCCAGCCGATAATTTCAATGGCTAAGTGGCTTCATGAACGCTAAGATTTTTTTTTGAGGCTTTCGTAAGGTCCTAATAGGGGCCCACGCTAGGCCGGGGGCTAGGCTTTAGGCCCAACTGTTCGGCCCTGGGGCACTGTGGGTAATGCTTTGCGGAAGACTAGTATAGTGATACCAAGGCTTGGTGCTGTAGTACCAAACCAACGGTATAGTGCTACGGGACTTGCAAAGGACTAGTATCAATTAAACAAAGTGGATTGTCAAGTGTAACGCTTCAATGCGAGAGGCCGTATACGTGACCGACAACTGTTGCAATACATGTGTTGTTGATGAGCATTGTGAATTTGGCCTATTCGGCTGCCAAAGTCTGGCTAACCATGGTGGTTGTACAGAAGAGGTTGGACCTGGGTTCGTGCGATGTATACAGAGCCGAACTACATGGTTCCTAGTGGCATCAATCCGTCTAGAGATTGGAATGAAATGATTGCTGGATACGATGGTAAGATGTCTACCACTCTAGCTTCCGGACTGTCGCACTCCGAGAATAGTAGTACAAGGCATGTTCCAAGGTTGGACACAACTTCCCCTGACACCGAGATGATGATACTAACTCTCAACTATGGTAACGATAGAATGAGGTATAAAGCTTTCAAATGGCTCATCGCTCACCGGAATTGGAGTATATCACTTGTACTCTGTACCGAGGTGATGCCAACATCGGGGTTCTCTCTTAGTCCCCGCCAAACATACTCTGAACGTCCAAGTGCATAGTTCCGTGTTTTATATTATCTGAACGCGCCAGTTATCAAGATGACACGAAAAGATGGACCAACGGGCGGAGCTTCAGGTCTGCATGCTTGTGTATGATTCTCAAACATTTCGTACCCGTGCGAATTGGAGTTTGGCCTCCCCTCGGAGGACAGGAAGACCGTGAAAAAACGGAGGCATGGCCGTGCATGAGTTTGGGCCTAGTAGGCTGAGATATAGTCGTATCCAGCGATGTCCAATCAAACGGCCCATTTGCAGTCTAGAATCCTGTCTAAACATCAGGTGAGAAGGTTACCTGCATATTAAAGTCACTTTAGCAGAGCACTCATGGATATAGCGGGAATTTTATATCACGGCAAGTTTGAAACATCCCAGAAAATCATAAAAATAAACCGGTGAGAAAATGAGAGAAGCTGCGAGAAACTGCGAGGTGAAGAAACTATCGCTGCCCGGAATTGAAAATGAACACTAGAATGTAAACAGACTAGCTTAACTTAGGTCTGTGCTTTCTTATTGGCTGAATGTCTGACCGTCTCCCCAGATTTGAAGTACTAGGTACCTGCTTATGCGCAGTCAAACAGGGCCAAGTCCAAGTGTCTGGTACATTTGGCCCCACGTCAGTGACCCGCCCCTCCCGCTCTGGCCCGGTTTCCCCTTGGAGATTGTGATCGCGGCGTCATTTCCTTTGGGCTCTTGCCTTGACTTAAATACTCCAGTCGCCTAGTTCCTTGTTTTCCCCAGGCATTTCTCTTCCCCTCATCTTGACCTGCATCCACTCTTCTACATCACACCAGACCAATTCTCTTCATACATTGCACTTCTGCCCGCATTCCACCGCCATCTCAATAAACAAACACCTCGGATCTATTCTCCGTACCTTCATCATGACTAAGGTACGAGGATCCCAGTATCTCCCAGGAGAGAGAGAGACGCACTCACACTAACCGGAATTGCAGATTACTGAAATTTTCTTCGATTGCGACAACACTCTGGTCCTCTCAGAGGAGTTGGCCTTTGAGGCTTGCGCCGACCTGGCCAACGAGATTCTGGAGGCGAACAACCTCCCCGATCGTTACACAGGCGACCAGCTCATCAAAGACTTTGTCGGCCAGAACTTTCGCGGCATGATGGTCTCCCTGCAGAAGAAGTACGACTTCGAGATCGATGCGGAGAAGCTGGAAGCATACGTCACGAAAGAAGAGGACAAAGTCATTGCCAAGCTGAACGCCAAGGCTAGGCCTTGTATCGGTGCCACCGAAGAGCTGGAGAAGATTTACGCGTCGAAGAAGTACGGTCTTGCAGTAGTCTCCTCCTCCGCTTTGCGCCGCGTGCTCGCTTCTATCAGGAAGGTCGGTCAGGACAAGTACTTTGACGAGGACAAGGTCTTCAGCGCTGCCAATTCTCTACCAAAGCCTACCTCCAAGCCCGACCCCGCTATCTATCTGTATGCTCTCGAGCAGGTCGGCAAGACTGCTTCCGAAACTGTTGCCATCGAGGACAGCAAGTCTGGCGCTCTTTCGGCGGTTCGTGCTGGTATCCCTGTCATTGCTTATGTTGGCAGCTACAATGGCGAAGAGACGCAGAAGGCAATGGCCAAGGCCCTGACTGACCTTGGCGCAAAGACTGTCATGTACCATTGGTCTGAGTTTGAGGATCGCCTGAAAGATATTGAGAATGATGTATCCGTCGATGTTCAGTCAACCCTTTAAACGAACTTGAGCTGATGACGCTTTTACGCCCACGATGTTATGACAGCGAGCGTACGGTCGTTATGGGGCCTTTTGCTCTATTTTTCTGATGTTTAACGCTACTCCAAGTATCGTGGACTCTTGATTTCTCTTGATGCTTTCTGTTATCAAAAGAAACTTCCATATCTTTTGACACAACAGTGAGAATTCCTGCTTGAGACTGGACTGTGTCCAGTCATTGCTACTTTCTTGTTTGCCTGGTGCATGACTATTCATAGACAGGTTTTGACGCGCAATGATACCATTTAAAGAACACCTTGTCATGATTCGACTCGGGTGTCTTCCTTATACATCTTTCGTAGAGTTAAACATTCTTTTACATCTTAAAAAGGCAATGCACTTCCACTGGAATCGCAAACATCAATCTGAGACCAACAAGATTAGGGCCAACCCCGCTAACCCCGCCATCACCCCTCATGAGGTTCCCATTTGCCATTGTTGGGAGTGGTTGCCGATTTCGCAGCATCAGTCCAGTACTCTATTGAATCTCGGCTTGTTCCTATTTGTTAGAAGTCACGTGACTTCTATGTTTGCTCCTAGTACTTAGTCTAGCTAACCTGTAGATAGCTTCTCTCTTTTACAACACATCCAGAGATCTCCAGTTTCATCTACAGCTTCATTTGTAGACTGAATACCCTCTCTCTCAGGTTATGAGCGCCGTTGTTTTCAAAGCTATTGTGTAATGCAACCTTCGAAACCCTGGTTTAACCACTTTTTTGGCGTACTGCGTCGCACCACGGTGTGGATACTCAGTGTGGTTCTTGACCACACAAATCAGAGTCTCTCACCAAAAGAAGACAAGATTAACACCTTGTCTAACCCCTTTTGAACCATCTAGTATAAGTTGGATTATCTTCGACAACCAACCATAGTTGCCGATACCGTCGTCGACAACGCTTTGACATCCCAAAAATCGGATCGTCGAACCCCACTTCTGACTTGCTACCCGCCATAGCAAGCCAATCATACCCCTTACTTTCTTGACTACTTACAACAGTCTACCCTATAAAGATTCACCACCTCCACAGTGGCGGTACTAGCGTATAAATTAGCTTAGTATTTAATATGGTATTTTACAAATTGATACAACATTATTCTTTTAAAAAACAGGGTTCT